GATGTCCCAGGCCTGAATAGCCCTTCTTGATATTTTTTCCCCCTCTGCTTTGTTAACAACAAAGATATTGCTCCATCTATTGTCTACTTGTGACATTGAAGAATCACAGCAGAAGAAACCTCCGGCGAAAAAACTGCAAGTGCTGCTGAATCATTTTTGGAGTTAGCCTGCCAAGTTACATATTCATTAGTGCCTTCACACGGCTTTTGAAACCCTTTTCTATGAAGCTGATGCCTGCAATTCTCCCCCTCCCCTTCCCACTCTAAATGTCAATTGGTTTAAGCATATTACTCACATTTGCATAACAGATTGAAGCGATAAACTTATGATTTGAAAGCTAACAGGTTTGCAGTCAGTCTTGATTTGTCAGGTTTGAAGATTTACACTAAATTGAACTTACCTGAAATGCCATCCGAATAGTCTCTTCCGTGTTGGCTGGGTTACACAGAACAGACAAACCAATTACGTATTCTCTGAAGTCGATGGTGCCATCTCCATTCTGTAGCCAAAATATGCAGTAGTTATAGTTAATATTGCAAATCATTTTAAAAGCTGTTGTATAAACCAACTATACAACATACACCAAGTTTACAACACTAGAGGTATTTGTTCTTCCTGGAAAAAATACTAAAAGCTCGCCAAACATATGTAATACTAGAGCAGAAGTAGCAAGATACATATTTGCAATAACTAGAAACTGGGTATCAATTTCTATCTTATAAACACCCAAACGGAAAAGATTTAAAACAACTGACAAATTTTTCTCTAGTATCTGACCTCCAAGACGCCTCTAACAAGACTTAGAATACCTGTGTTTAAGGTAAATGTAACAGCTCAGGGAGCACTGGCACTTGCTAAAGTTCAGAGACCAAGGGAACACCTTGGAATAAACAGGCCAACAGCGAGGCTGGTGCCTTGAGTTCATTCTTCCTAAGAACCTTTAGCAATAAAATACGAGCCAGTGAAAGTACAGCCTGATGATGCAGTAAATCCATGTGGTCTACCTTAACCCCTTCTTTGAAGTAAATGCATTGCCCTACATCCTGTTTTGAAGCAAATACATTGTCCTACCTTTCAAGGCAGAAGGACAATTAATTCATTGCAACAGCCTCTCTGATAATTTCAGTTTTGATCTGAACACACATTTTAATGTGTTAACTGCAAAGCTACATCAGCAAAACATTTGAAGCTTGCTTTGATGGGATTCATGATTAATTCTATGTGAGCTGTATTATATTTGCTGATACAGAATATGGCAGATGTCCTCTGAAAGAGATGCTTAAGTCAGGAGTGTTCCTGTGACCACACTGAAAGTTTCTTGAGGGTTTTGGGAAACATCCAGGCTGAGGAAGAAGCCATATAGAAGCATTAGGTGATGGGACACAAGCGTAGTTAGTGAAAGCAGAGTAGAGAGGACTAGTAGCTCATAGTTTGGAACATTCACAATAAGGGCATTCATCAAAAACATTTTAAAAGCAAACAAAAGTTCCTTTTGTGAATAATGTGTTGTGCATTTCAAGAAGAAAAAGATTTTCAAAAAAGTGGACTCCCTAAGTCTGAGAACAGCATGAAACATTTTCAGCCAAGCGAGAGAGGGGTGGTGTCCTGGGTAAATCTGCAGTGAACAGCCAGATTTAGATTCTATTTCTGGCTCTCCTACCAACTTCTACTGCCCACTTGAGCATACCAGCCTTAACCTTTCTGTTCTTGGTTTTCTGCTGCTGCATAGTGGAATATGGAGCTTGCCAGTGGAGAAATGCTAAGGATGCTCTGTAGAGTGCTTTGAAAATCTTGAGTTCTATGAAATAGGGATTTCTGTTATTGAATTTAGGTCTTAAGATAGTCCTTAATTAACAAAATATGTGTAATAAGGTGTTGAGTACTATCTTTTCTTTATTAAGCTATATATGTAACAGGATTTAAAACTGCTAAGATACAGTTTTATTTAGCCTTCAAAACCAAGTCAGGACTGTTTTGCATGGGCAACTGTTATTTTCTTTATACTGATGGTGTAACCAATCTTTTCTGAAGACATGCAACCTTTGAACATCTTGTACTTCAAAGGCCTCTAGATTTTAAGGAAACTTTTAAGCAAAAATATGAATAGTCTTTAAATTACTTCTGCGTGTGTCTAAGGGATATAACTTTTGACAGATTTTAATCATTAGAAAAGGACAATGTTCTCTCATAAATGCTATTTTAATCTGTGCTCTCATTGTGCCACAGAGTTTGACTTGAAAAAATTTGGCTACATCATAGTTCTCATAACAACAATAGATCTAACTTTAAAACATATCATTATAAACCTAAACTCTTAAAACAACTGAAGCAAGATCGTAGATAATAATTGCTCAAAGTTCCATGGGATATTATTTTTGGACAGTCTTATTCTTAGCAAAAGATTGTTTGATGCCATTAGAATATTTTTTAAATTTATTTTTAAAGTTAGGAATAAGTATCACAGGAAAAGAACTGGGAAGTAAACTTTAAATAAAATAGTCTCATTACAAAACAACTTCTGAAATCTGTTAACACAGCTATGGCTGCACGTGGAAAAATGACAAAAGCTAGTAAGGGTCATATTACCTTCATTAAAGTGTTAAAACCCAGTAATCAAAAGCGGTGCAAGCTGATACACAGAACTCCAGGCATTTGACTAGGAAATAAACTTATTAAACTTGCAAGATCACGTTGTGACTAGCTCCGCTAAACTGTAGGATGCTGGCTGACTTCCAAATGCTCTGGCATTTTTGTTAAGGAGAAATGATAGGGTTGCCTGGAAAAAGGGATGAGAGTTAAACTGAAAATGCAGGAAAACCTTCCGTGTTTGTGTAGCACCACCGCAAACAAGCACTTAAAATAGTCTTTCTGTGGATATTTAGCTGTGTTTGCAGATAATATTTTAAGGAAGCAACATGTGAGCTGAGCTCCAGTTGTCTAAATAGCAAAGTAGAACATAAGTATTTAGATATTTGTATTTATGTTACATAAAATAATCAAAACATAGTGTAACCTCAGCAACCCTTGTTTTCTTTAAGGAAACTAATTTTCTGCTGCTATTTTCACTACAGCATGCCATGGTAACTTGGGTTTTGTTGCTGTTTTTTTTATATGATACAGTAAATCTTACACTTTGGGAAACAAGAAAGTTTGCATTGTCATAAGCAGGCTCCATCTAGATTGCATAAGGACTGCAAGACAGATGCAGTCAATAAAGTTTAAAGTCCTGCTGCTTCAAAACTTTTTCTCACTATGTAAGGCAACAGGAGAAATCAAGCATGTATGTATGTGTGCTAGTCATTCGTGTTCTGTTTAGCTAAGTAAACCCTGAGTCACTTGCAGGGCTACCACAGAGAAGCTACAACTGGACCATTTGGGGAGGAACTGCAGGTGCACCTCTTGTGTTCACAACCAGGCTCATCATGAAAGGGAAATTCTGAAACAAAGCTGGTAGGATGGTGCTCCCCTAGAGGCATCACACTTTCCCTCGTGCTCACTTTTCTATCACTCAGAGCCCAAATGCCGCTGTGGATAACTGCGTGCTTTTCCACTGAGTAACTGGGAGGGGGGTGAATGCTGTGAGGAAGGAAGTAACCTCTTCCATCACAACTTGAGCCGACATGAGTATTTCTACAGTTTCTGTCACCCAGCTTGGTATTACACAATGTGCAGGAGGAAAAAAGTCTGGGCAGAGGTTGTAAATTACTTTTTCCTAAGTTGCGAGTAAAAGGCTTCTGCAAGTATGCCAGGGAGAAGATTTCATCAGTTTGGAAAACCTTATTTGCCAAATGTAACTGCAAGATTTAGAAATCAAAGCTATGGAAATTTAGAAACAAAATCAAACCACAGTACCCCATTAGCATTCAGATGCCTTGCAGGTATTGTGTGTTATTTCTCAGTCACTGATGTCTCCCTGGGAGGGGCAGGGGCATGTGGACTCTTGCATCTGGAGACTTCTTGCAGTGAGTGTGCGCTCCTCCTTTCACATTCCAGTCAGCTAGCACACACCCCAAACAATTTTCTTTTAAAGAAGCACAGCCCTGCTGAGAAATCTGCCTTGTTACATTGCAGTGCAAGAGCCGCTTTCATCAACTATGTATTCCTTAATTAAAAAAACAAATCTACTTTTGACAGTTCATTCTTTTACTCAAAAATTGACATCTCAGACAGAACTACATACCTAGCTTGAGTGGGATGCTGCACCCTGCTGAAGTTTATCTCACATAGCCAGAGATTGATTTTGGCTGGCTGGCTGCTCTATGACTGCATCAGCACAGCAAGCCTCTCTAAATATAAATGTAGTATTTTAAGTTGTTTTCATTATAACTATAATAAGGCTTCAAGGAAAGAGAGAAAACACCAGTTAACGAAATTGTAAGAAGGAAAAAAAAGGTTGTAAAAGTAGCCTTATTTAAGTCTTCAATTTTGTAGAACTGACAATACCACACAGGTTTTGCTTCAGCAGACAAGCATGAAAAAGCAGAAGTAAGGAAGGAAATGAAATATGATTATGTAAATTGATTGATCATTATAGTTATTGCAACTCATGTTTTTTCCCTTGGTAGAAATAACTGCACAACTCTCTTTACTAGTGACTGCCTTCAGGCAAGCAGAGCTTTATTCCAGCTTAGTGACTGCTGACAAATCGGAACAGTAACATGACAAAGCAACACCAAACGTAGAGCTTTCTGTATAATAGTTACACTAATATACAAGCCACTTTACGTGAAGAAATAACTAAGCTCTGATCCTTCAATACATTCCCTCACTTCTAGAGTCTAGAGATAGTTTCCTGAGACAGACTTATGCACCCGTCCCACTGACAATTTACACAAACCCTTCAGAAAAGCATGCACAAGAGCAATCGCAACACTAAACTGAGCTGTCTACCACTAGCTATGTCTGCCTTAGAACAAGGAAAAGACTACAGTTCTGTCATACAGCACGGCAGTCTTCCATGTATATCTTCCAGATGAAGCTGCTGCTTCTCTGCTATGCCTTCACGAATACATGGTCAGCTGCAGCCAGTCTTCAATGGTCATTTTGATATGTCCATCTCCATCTCGGTCCAGGGACTTGAAGGCCCGGAACATGCTGTCAAGCCGCACCAAGCAGCTAATGAAGTTGTTGAAATCCATGCTGCCGTCCTCATCGGCATACCTGCGCACCACTACCTGGCAGAGTTGGTCATTCAGGTGGAACCCCGCAGCCCTCAAGGCGCCCGGCAGCTGAGCTCTCCCAACAGTGCCTGACTGATCAGTATCGTACTGCTTGTACACATGTTGCCATTTCTTGATGTTGTTCCACAGATACTTAAACTCTTCAAAGCCGAGTTTGCCATTTGTATCATTGTCCATGACGGCTACCATGCTACGGCATGTGTCTAAGCTGAAGCCATCTGTCTTCAAGTCTGGATGCCTGGAAACCACTTTGTTCAGGATGTCTCTTAGCTCTGTGGCACACACTTCCATGTCATCTCCAGCCAGCTGGATGAAAAGGCGACGAAACTGTCTGATCTCCTCACTCTCATAAGCTTCCACATTTGTAAAATGACTGTGAGCAGGTGGAGGTGGCTCTGGATTATACTGAGCTGCTGCTTCACTTATAAGATTGACAAGACCTCCAACAAGTCCTCCAAGATTCCCTCCATGTCCGCCTCCTGTTAGGAGACCTCCAAGGCCACGTGCAAGGCTCCCTCCACGACCACTACCACTTCCTCCACTCAGCAAAGCTTTAGCAAGAAACATCGCAAAGGTTTTTTAAAGGGAGTTACTCAGAGATCCAGTGCTGCTTTAACTCTCTGAAGCTGTTTCGTGTCTGAGCTGGGCGTGGGCAAAACACAGCTTAATTGCATGCTTACACCCTGCCTGTGCATGTCTCCAGCTGACAGAGTTATCTCAGATCTCAGTAATTTCTGTCAATTGTTGATATGCTTCTATTTCTTTCTTTCTTTTCTGCATAGTTAGCTTTACGTGATTTGAGGCATTTTTTTAGAAAAAAAAAACAAAAAAAACCAAACAATGAGGCTGAAAGCCATGGAGCAGAAGTCTCAAAATATCTGTGGTCATGATGGAAGCAATCTGATAAGAGCCCTGCCACATTAGTGTGGCTGTTCCTCAGTTAAGCTGACCTCCTTGAAGACGAACACAGCAAAAGCTTACTAGAGTCTTATGTGTTCTTGCAATCTTTTATACCTTCAATTTTTTGGTGAATTGAGCATTACGTTGCTAATTCTAGTTGCTGACACTGTTGTGCCAGATAGGGAAAGTGAAAGGAGACTTGATTGCCTTTAGTTATTTTGGTTGCCACACCATATTTCTATTGTATGTATTGTGCTTCAGGACTCCAACCACACCTTCACAGGAGCCAATGGTCCAAGGTGGGGAGGAAGAATGAAGAAAGGATGAGTACCTCACTCTGCTAGAGCTTCAGTGCATTCAGCAGTTAAGGACATACATTTGACTCTTCTCTATTTTAGAGCTCTTATCTGGAAAAATCCTGAAACAGTTTTAATCAGCATATACAACACAATGACCGCTCAAGACAGGTGTCCTGCTAAAGCTAACTTGATGAGGAAGAGTGATGCTGAGTTGGGAGAGCTCCTAAGATGAGGAACAAACTCCAGTTCGTAAGTACTTGCAGTACAACACGCTGCTTGCACTGTGGCACATACTGGATCCCTGTAAGTAAGATGATTCTATGCTATGCTCTAGTCACTGACGCTTCTGGGTATAGTCAGAGGGGTGCATCCACAGAGCAATTTTTCTCATCTTCAGAGAGAAGCAGAAAATGGGAGAGATCACCACTGCCTATGGAGGAAAGCCTATATGATCAGATTAACACTGATTAATTGAGCTGGAGATAGGAAAGTGTCTTATAGTGTCTAATAGTACCCGTCACCGTCACAGCAGGAACACACGCTCCAGTCAGGTTCAATCTTCCTTAAATTATCTAATTACAACTACATGAGTTAATTAAGCTGTCAGAATATACACAAGATCAAAATCTGGGGTAGGCAGAAAAAAATATTCAGCCATTACCAGCACGAAGATTATCATCTGATGATGGTGCAGCAGCTTGGTCCAGGAGATGGCTGTCATCTCACAAGTTACAAACTGACCAACCTTTTCCCATCAAAACTTCAGAAGGAAACCATAAGTCACCTATCTTGCCTACAGGAATTGCTAACCAAGCAGCATTTACTAAGCTTGAGATAATGAATTAAATATCCTTTTGGGATGTGATTCATAACAAAACACTGTCAACAAGAGTTCCAGTCAGTTAAGCAGCTACTCACCCTGTCAAAGAGTTGAAACAGCTCTTTGAGGACATCTGAAATAGGCAGCTTCAAGTACTCTGCAAACTCCTCAATTCCAATTCTTCCTCCTTTGGAAGCACTCGCAATAGCAGCAAAGCTGTCCAGCTGCTCTCTGACATGATTCCATTTCAGGCTATGCAAACATGAGGGAGAGGAGATATTTCCATACAGTAGATCTTGGACAGATGGAATTTCAGTAAGAGTTATCACAGTGTTCAAAGACGAAAAATAGCCAAACAGCACGTGTCTACAGCATTAGAGATGATGTTACTTCCAACCTTATACTTTATATGAAATCGGCAATTAAGGACTGCTCCCTCCAGTTATTAATATTAAAAGCAGCAGTTATATGCTTGAGTATATCAGACTTCTTTAGAGTAATTTCCCAAACCTAGAATCCTGTGTCCAGTAACTAGGCTAGTGTAGCAGAGAGCTTTTCATTACCATAAATTCAGATCATGCTCTAGGGTGAATATTTCCTTAACAGAAGGGAATACATCTCAGCTCTACTAGCTAACACTCTACTGGAACACTAGTATTGCTACAGCCTGCGAGGTATCTGATCTCTGCAGAAATACACCACTGCACCTCAGTACAAATAATCACGATTGCTGTGTGACTATTGAAGGCTGTTCCAGACAGACCTCTGTGAATGGATATATAGCACATACGTAACAACTCAAGATTCACTGCGCACAGACTTCAGATTTGACCACAGCCACACCAGGTTATTTGATGGATTTACTGTATGATTAAGAGGTTCAGTCCTGAAATTTCACTGTATCCAGACAGAAAATGTCACCATCACTAGGGAAACATGGCTGCACAGTACAACTACGAACAGTAAGCCACTGGCTGAAGTCTCAGGCTAGAAAGAAGGTTTTTTACTTCCTACCACACACTTCCTGTGCATCTCCAGAAGAGCAATTTAAATTGTGCGCCAATATTACCATCAAGTGCCTAAAATAAGTACTGCCCTATCTTCCTCACCTTCTGGTGAGATAAATCCATAAAGATTAGACTTTATATTTTTCCTCTTGTAACACTGCCCACAAAAATTACTTGTGATTAGTTGTTACTGGGATTTTCCTCATCTCTGATTTCCATATAGTTTATGTAAGTTGTATACATAAATACACTATACCACATGTTTTGTAGACGGCCTTCAACACCTGCAGCACCACAGTAATTATGCTGCCAACAGCTAAACTTCCCTTACTTGAGTTTCTTGCTAATTTTGGTGAACTCCACCAGCCCA